CACACACACACACACACACTTTATAACAAAAGCTGTACTTTACATACATAACTTACACTACAATACTCCACATAAACACACACAGACAGCCCCCCCCCACAGCATCCAATCCAATCTTCTCTCAGTGTCAGTCCATAAAGCAAATCGGTATCTCATGCAATCAGAGATATAATCCAATCACTTGGTATTTAAATAGTAAGAGAGAGAGAGAGAGAGACAGAGAGAGAGAGCATGTTTTGTAACCCTTACCTCTGCTACTCAGGAACACCCACCATCCACTTCACCATGACGAGGAAATGTAGCCTCCTTCACCTCCCTCCATTGTCTCCTTCTACATCTTCCTTACCTTCAACTATCTCCTTCATCTCTCCTGTCTCATGATCTCTTGCTACATTCTCCTTATCTCATCATCCTCCGTCTCCATGACTCCTCACTCCCTCCAAACACAACCCCCTCCCTCACAACTCTCTCCAACAACAACCCTCATTCATCAGTGTGCCCTCCATCACTATCCTCTCCCTCACAACCCTCTCCAACATAGCCCTCACCCCACCCCCCACAACCCTCTCCAACACAACCCTCATGCCCACAACCTCCTCTCCTCACTCAAACTGCTTTATACAACTCTCCCAACAACCTGCTTCCTATTCCTTCTACCTCACTCTCATCACAACCCCATCCCTCCCGTCTTCCTCTTCCTCCCCGGGTTCTACGTCTTCGACAAATCCCTCCACCTACCTCTCTCAATCTCTCCCCAACTTCTTCTCCTCAACAGACTTCTCTATCTTTCTAAATCCTCCTGACTCTTTCTTAAATCTCTCTTTCCCTCCTCAATTCCCATCGTCAAACCACTCTCCCTCCCCTTCCATATCCACCTATTCCCGAGGACATTCTCTCTTCCTATGCACTAAAAACCTCTCCCACTCGTCTTCTTCCCCTTCCTTCTCCTAAAGTTTCTTCCCCTTCTTCCTTAGCTACCTACCTCCTTTCACCCTCTCCTCCTTTTCCTCCTTCCAAATTCTCTTCCTTTCCCTTTCCTCGCCACCAACCTCCTCTTCCCCCATTTCTCTCTCTTCTTCCCAACAGCCCCATTTCCTCCCATATTCTCTTTCCTCTCCCTTTCCCTCTCCCACCGCCCTCCTCTCTCACCTGCTCTTTCTCTCTCTTCCAAACTTTCTTCCCCTCCCGCCTCTCCATCCCCTAGCATACCCTCTCCCCTCTCGTTCCCACACCACCCCCTTCCCCTCTCCTTCCCACACTTCTCACCCCTCATCCCCCTTCTCCATCCCCCACCACTCTCTCCCCCTCTCCTTACCCCACCACCCTCCCCATCACTCTCCTCTCCGCAGGTACACTAGGGGAGGGAGGGGGTAGCGAGAAAGATTGTGACACTCTCGATAATTGACTGGTCGTCGGGTGGCCATCATTTCCTGAGTTGGCAACTTGCCGCCTTCCACCAAGTTAAATTGGAACTGGAAATCCATTGTTAAAAAAAGGTGGTCCAATGATCAGGTGAGTTTTGCAGAAATTTACAAAAAAATGGAATTTGACTTTGGAATTTTATTTTCAGGTTATGGTTTGTTAATAATAATAATAATAATAATAATAATAATAATAATAATAATAATAATAATAATAATAATAATAATAATAATAATAATAATAATAATAACTCAGTAAAAATCGTCAAACAAGTGTACAATAACTTTGACACGTACAGTATACACCATCATACCGTTAAAATAACCAATTAAAATAAAATCACATCTTTAAAATACATTCAGCCTCCAGCAACCACCAACCCTATTGACCATTAATATTTGCATTTATATTCAACACTTAAAAAAAAAAATTCCAATATCGATGATTATTTACAAGAATGGGAAAAAATAACAGTCTCCCCAACCAGTGTCCATTTTCTGTCATTAATCCTCCAGCGCTATTAGATAATGTGAACTGAATTTTAATACACTGTTTTAAAGGTTGACATTAATGGAGATACTAAAGTGACTAATTGTGTCATTAACCGTGATGAAAGCTGATTACTTAGATCCGAAGGTTGAAAAGTTAAAGGTTAGCCAATTAATGTGGCGGCAACGAGGAAGTGAGTGTGTGTGTGTGTTTGTGTGTGAACAGACCTCGACTTCAACCGCAACCAAACAAAAACTGGCCACAATCACATATTCAGCACAAGTAGTAGGTAGTAGGCAGCCACCAAACAGGGAGGTACTACTGCCTGGGAAGATATTGGCAGCATAATGTGTTGTCTAATGGTAGACCCTGCTGCCATATGGCATCACGAAAATTGTGACCAAGTCCCAGGTTGCTGATCTGTCTTTCTGCCTCATTTACACACAATTGCAGGGTCTCAATTGTTTCTCTTACTATTGACAACACAACATACATATATTGTTTCTCACTTTTGATCTTTTTTTTCATTTTTGTAGTTATGGTTCTTTATTATTATTATTATTATTATTATTATTATTATTATTATTATTATTATTATTATTATTATTATTATTACATTTTCGCCCCCCAGGCCCCGATGTGGGTCAGTGACCTGTGCCCGATTGGGCTAATTCCCGTGAAAAAAAAATTACACAGACACTCACCAATACACCACACACTCACCACTACCATACACTCACCACTACCATACAAAATGACATCAATAAAACTTTATCGTTGTTGTTGGTGTGTGTGTGTGTGTGTTATCTAATGACTAACTCAGTTCTCACATGCTAAACGACCTTACTAGCGAGGTCATCCTAAAACTACATCTTGCGCTTGTGCGACCTCACTTGGATTACGCAGTTCAATTCTGGTCACCGTATTACAGAATGGATATCGAATCCTTGGAAAGAGTTCAGGGGAGAATGACAAGACTAATCCCGGGCATTAGGAACATTGTGTACAGAGACAGGTTAAAGCATCTTATTTTACACTCCCTCGAGAGACGTAGAGTGGGGGGCGATATGATCGAGGTGTATAAATGAAAGTCAGTGTTAAACAAAGGTGACATTACAAAGGTACTCAAACTATCCAACCAGGAGCGAACTCGTAACAATGGTTTTAAATTAGACAAATTTAGATTTAGGCGCGAGATAGGTAAACATTGGCTTGGAAATAGAGTAGTGGATGAGTGGAACAAGTTACCAAATATTATCATTAACTCGAATACGCTGGATAGCTTCAAACAAGGTTGGATGGATATATGAGCAATCAGGGTTGGGTGTAAATGGGACTGCCCAGTATGGGCCAATAGGCCAGCTGCAGTTTCCTCCATTCTTATGTTGTTCTTATGTGTGTGTGTGTGTTTCGACTTTAAGGGTTATTATTAAACAACATTGAACTGAACAAGACAAATCTCTCTTAAAAAATAAAAACGATGTTATTTATTTATGATTTACTGTGCTTCATTAACTAAGGTAATTAAACAGTAAGGTAAGAAGTCATTGTTTACAGAGAACAAGTAAGGTCGTTTTGCATGTGAGAACTGAGTCAGTCCTTAGATAACAAATACTGAAGAAATATCAAAGAGAATAAGTCCTACTGATTAATTCTATTTTAGCTTGTGGTTGTGGGTTATTATTTAATACCTCTGCCAGTCACAGTAGTCCAGGGTCACTTTCTATCTCTGAAATATAAATACAGGTGAAATATATATATAGAGGACTATCGAAAATCAATGCCCGAGTTTTAATATGTAACTATTTCAATCTGGGTATTATTTATCGATGACCTATTATATAACCAATATAAATTGACTATATGTGTATTTTCCTTATTTATATCGTAATTCTCACATTGTTTTGTTTTTCTTCATATTTTATATCTGATGTTTGTTCTTGAAAAATTTTAATATCTTGTATGAAAAATATTAACGATAGGAGAAAAATACTAAAGCGCAGAAATTGACTGATATTTGAATATCTCCTTAGTCTTGTAAACACATAATCATATATAAAACTTATTTGTACAAAGGTTATTTTTTTAATCGTGTCCCTGGGAGTCCTACCACCACCAACCCAAACTAATTTCGCGATTTTTTCTCAAATTTTTGCTATAATTCTGCAAATGTCAGATAAAATTTTGTTGTGAAAGTTCTTGAATTTGCGTCAGGATCAACTTCGCTTTTCATCTCTTGGCCGTCAGACGCCTTCACCCCTCCTTAATTAAATCTCTGTAAAATTCATGCCATTTTTGCCCTGACATAAATAGCAATAAAAGTCACAGGAAGTTAAGGTGATTCCGGTGTCGACGGTGACGGAACTACACTTTAGAGGCTGATGATGAGATACTTCCCACATTTATACATACTGTACATGTACACACACATACATATACAAGATACATACATTACTCTGCTACGGTCCAGTCACATAAAAAATACATCTTCAGACTAAGACAAATTAGAATGAATATAGCCCCTGGCGCTAAAATATACAAGAGGGATATATCAAAATGAATACACTCAATACACAGCTATTTTTCCTAGACTGCTTAACCAATCAACGCTTGAAATTATAAAGAAAGCGAAGGAAGGGACAGTATTCGCGGAAGTGAGGAGATATTAAACAACAATGGCACCCTCAGTCGATTCCTAATTCAAAATTCGCGCCTGCTGCTGCCTGGAATAATTTACACAGCAATGACGCAGCTCTCAATATTGTGGTGGGACCGTGGGGTGTGGTGGTGGTGCTGTGTTAGTGGTGGTGTGGTGTGGTGGTGGTGTGTGTGGTGGTGTGGTGTGGTGTGTGGTGGTGGTGCTGTGGTGGTGTGGTGGTGTGTGGTGGTGGTGCTGTGTTATTGGTGGTGTGGTGTGGTGGTGGGGTGTGGTGGTGATGCTGTGTTATTGGTGGTGGTGTGGTGTTGTGGTAGGTGTGGTGATATGCTGTGGCGGTGTGTTATTGTGGTAGCGAAGGCGATTGTGGTCGAGCTGATGATGGTGATAAAGCAAATGCCAGGCACAAACACCAAGTTAGTAGTCACAAGGCATGAATCACCAAGGACCACGCACCATCACGTACCATTCACAAGCTATGAATCACCAAGGACCACGCACCATCACGTACCATTCACAAGCTATGAATCACCAAGGACCACGCACCATCACGTACCATTCACAAGCTATGAATCACCAAGGACCACGCACCATCACGTACCATTCACAAGCTATGAATCACCAAGGACCACGCACCATCACGTACCATTCACAAGCCATGAATCACCAAGGACCACGCACCATCACGTACCATTCACAAGGCATGAATCACCAAGGACCACGCACCATCACGTACCAGTCACAAGCCATGAATCAAGGACCACGCACCATCACATTACCATTCACAAGCTATGAATCACCAAGGACCACGCACCATCACGTACCATTCACAAGGCATGAATCACCAAGGACCACGCACCATCACGTACCATTCACAAGCCATGAATCACCAAGGACCACACCATCGTACCATTCACAAGCTATGAATCAAGGACCACGCACCATCACGTACCAGTCACAAGCTATGAATCACCAAGGACCACGCACCATCACGTACCATTCACAAGGCATGAATCACCAAGGACCACGCACCATCACGTACCATTCACAAGGCATGAATCACCAAGGACCACGCACCATCACGTACCATTCACAAGCCATGAATCACCAAGGACCACGCACCATCACGTACCATTCACAAGGCATGAATCACCAAGGACCACGCACCATCACGTACCATTCACAAGCCATGAATCACCAAGGACCACGCACCATCACGTACCATTCACAAGCTATGAATCACCAAGGACCACGCACCATCACGTACCAGTCACAAGCTATGAATCACCAAGGACCACGCACCATCACGTACCATTCACAAGCTATGAATCACCAAGGACCACGCACCATCACGTACCAATCACAAGCCATGAATCACCAAGGACCACGCACCACCACGTACCAGCCATGGAGCATAAGACGCGCCCAGTCTTAAAAAAATGTATTCTCATGAATCAGTAATATTTCAGATGTCTAAACTACCTCCCAATTTAACAGTAATAATGAAGATGCTACAGACATTCCTCTTACTCGTTATTTAATGTGGAAAATCTTTTGAATTAATCTAACTTAACCAAGTCTAACATAACCTGTGCTGTCCTAAACTAACCTGACTTAACCTAACCTAACCTAACCTATTCTAACCTAAAAGAACCTCACCTATCCTGTTCTAAAGTAACCTAATCTGACTTAACCCAACTTGGCCTAACCTATCCTGACCTGACTGGACTTGACCTAACCCAAAAACCTATGTTTGTATATATCAGTTTCTTTTGTGTGTGTGTGTGTGTGTGTGTGTGTGTGTGTGTGTGTGTGTGTGTGTGTGTGTGTACACTTAAGATCAACTACAGGATAATCTAATAAGGTCTTCTTGCTGATACGAAGCGAAGAGTTTTTATTTTCTTAAGTTATTACGCTAAAAGGCACATCTCTCTATCTTTATTTTCATCTATATATTTGTGTGGAAAATAACTTCAGGAGACATATATATCTTTTAGAGTGAAGGAGGGAGAAAAACGGAGACCCTTTAATTGAACTGGACTCAATCTATGTTCTAAGAGTAAAATATCTGTCATACTGAATATCCCATATATTTGTTGGACGATATTATAAAGAAGAAAGAAGCAGGTGAAGAAGGAAAACAGATCAACAATAAGAAACAAAGAAAGATGAAAGAAGAAGAAACTGAAGAAAAAACAACAAGAACAAACAACGAAGAAGAACAGCAGCAATAACAACAACAAACGCGAAGACAGAAGAAGAATAGAGAAAGAAGGAGAAGAAGGAAGAGATAAAGATAGGGATAGAGAAGTAAGGTATCCAGTGAACATGTTTTGGCTAGACCACTCAGTCAGCCTCTGGTGTGCGTGTGTGTGTGTCCGTCTGTCCGGTAAGAAGTCCCCCCCCAGAACCAGGTCTTGCCTATACTGTGTCTGTCTGGCTGGCTCTTATCTCTCGCCTGATACCGTAACAAGTGTCGAAGGGTCTAATTAGTTTAAATTCACTTATCCCAGCCTCGTCTCCCCCACCGTAACAAGCTGTTGATACAACCCTTAATTATCATAAAGTCAATCTATAGGTAAAAACACACACACACACACACACACACACCACAAAAAAGAAGAGGGTAACGAGTCCTCCTGAGCCCAGCGAAGAACATAGACTTCACTCTGAAGAAACAAACATATAAACGCCACAGTTACGCACTTTCTTGACAGCGGGAGGAGATTGTGAAACTTGCCTGCACGCTAAAAACTTAACCTTGACCTTATCGTTTTGATGTGGGCGTTGATGGAGGCTCGCAAGGACGACTTTATTGCTTACTCTGTCGCTCATAAATCCATCAAGCACAGTTTTGTTGATCAGGACTATACACATCCCAGATACCGCTCTAAATCCGGCCCGGCCTCCAGCCACGGTGTTCTGGTTACCAACAACAAACGCGGGATCCGTCCGAGGGGTTTATTTACGCTATGTCAGCAACGTCCGCTCACATGTAGCACAAGATGCTAGGTGTGATTATCAGCTGCAGTCGATCCCTCTAGTACCGCTAAGCACAGGGTCAGAATCCCCTGAAACATGATCAAATAGTGGTTTCAATACTAAAGCTCCTGATTGGCGGAATTTTGAAATAGAAAGATTGCTTTGTAATTAAATCAATTAAATAAAATTATATATAGCTCCAGCAGGACTCAGGCGCAGATTAAATCAATTATATACGACACTGCTGCAGCCATGGTCGTGTTACTACCATGGCAGGTCACAGACACCCCCAGGCAGCTGCTGCACTACACACACACACACACACACACACACACACACACACACACACACACACAAAGGCAGGTGGAGCCAGAAAAAGAGCAACGAGGAGACGAGAGAGCTTGAAGGAGGAGGGTGAGGCAGGCAGGCGGAGACCAGCTTGACGGCCGGGTCAGCATGGGCGTGGGAGTCAGCACCAGCACCGCCACCCTCCACACGTCCATTACTAAATTAGGTCACAGTGTGGTAGTGGCCGCCAGACTAGACGCCTCGGTATTAAAGTGAGAGAGAAAATTATTAATATAGATTCTGGAACTTAACTAATACCCAAATTTCTAATGATACGAAATATACGAATTGATATTAATTTTGGTATTTAACTCATATCAGATTTTCTAATGATACTAAATCTGATATTCAATTAATACATAATTTTCAAAGATTTTAATTCATGTTCCTCACCTTTCCATAGAAATCTATTGATTGAAGTAGAGAGATTCGGTTACTGAGCAACAAGAGAGCCAGGGAGGTGAAAGTGACTGATTTATTCACTGTGTTGATGAGCATTAAATTTAAGTCATCCTTGATCCATTCTCTTAGTGTTGTGTTAATGATGTTGTTACGAGTGAGCTAAACAAGCTGTCCACTCTTATCAGATTATAGTTCATTATTCTGATGAGGTCATAAACAGCCCAATAGGAGAGGGTGGTTACTTAAGAGTGTAAGCCAATAAGAGAAGAGATTACTAAGACTGTAGGCCAATTGGATGAAAGAATCACCAAGACTGTGTAGAGTCTAGATCAAAGGGATCATGGGTTTAGGAAGCTTGTAGACCAAAGAGAGAGAGAGAGAGAGAGAGAGAGAGAGAGAGAGAGAGAGAGAGAGTTGATTAACAAGCCTTTAATCCAATACAGTTGACGAGTTGATTACTAAACCTACTCCACGATAAAAAACACCAACCAGCTGATGTTCACATGTTTACAGTGTGATGTTTACATTAATCAGCTGTTTCTGTTAGCTTCACAGAAAAAAAAATTCCCTAAACATCTTGAAATTGAAAATGAAATTGAAACGAGTTTATTTGGCCAGAAAAGCACAAATACACAGTGAGTTACAAATAACACTATTGACACGGCTGAGTCTTTTGAGTATTAAAGTATTTTGTGATTTACCTTCAACTATGTACTGCAACGTTTTAATCATTGGTCAAAGGTGCTCCAGGCTGCGGGAATCTGAGGAGTGGAGAAGATGGTGGAGGAGAGGGTGGAGAAGATGGTGGAGAAGATGGTGGAGAAGATGGTGAAGGATGAAGGAGAAGGGGAGGGAGGTAGGGGGAGTAATAAGTGAAGGGAAGGACGGAAGAAGAGATGGTGGCAGAGAGAGAGAGAGAGAGAGAGAGAGGGGGTGGGTGACGGTGGCAGACAAGGGAGTCATAATCGTCACCAGAATGACACTAATAACCATAATCACACAGCATTAGACGCCTAACAATCTCCTCTACAACGTTCCTTTTAGGGAGACAGACAGACAGACAGACAGACAGACAGACAGACAAAGAAAGATAGATAGATAGCGGGAAGAAAATCAAAGTGAAGGGACAACAACTTACAATAACTTATTCGTCAACAAGATAATAATTACAAAAGAAGGGAATGAAGACGAAGAACAGACCGTACCTCGAATATTTAAGGAAGACTTGGTTGGCTGCCTGGGTGAACGCCAAACTACAGCGTCCATCACAATATGCCAGACGTGAATCGGTAATTAAAAATAACGGTGTTGTTGTGGGAGTGACTTATGCGGTAGTTATAACGTCCCATTGGGTAATTAAGAAGGGGAGGAGGTGAGGGAGGGGGTGAGAGAGGGAGAAGGGGAGAGAGAGGGAGGGGGAGGGTTACGGAGGGGGGAGAGGAGAGTCCCCAGGTTATTAGGTCATTAGTGTGCAGGTAAAACATTCACCGAAGGATTTTCTAGGACCGATTTTTTTTTCTCTTCAGATTTGGAGAGATTTGGGTTAGTTAAAGGGACATTATTCTGGTTTATGTCTGTGTGTTTGTCTATAAGTGTGTGTGTCTATGTGTTTGTCTATAAGTGTGTGTGTGTGTCTATGTGTTTGTCTATAAGTGTGTGTGTGTCTCTATGTGTTTGTCTATAAGTGTGTGTGTCTCTATGTGTTTGTCTATAAGTGTGTGTGTCTCTATGTGTTTGTCTATAAGTGTGTGTGTCTCATGTGTTCTATAAGTGTGTGTGTCTCTATGTGTTTGTCTATAAGTGTGTGTGTCTCTATGTGTTTGTCTATAAGTGTGTGTGTGTCTCTATGTGTTTGTCTATAAGTGTGTTTGTCTCTATGTGTTTGTCTATAAGTGTGTTTGTCTCTATGTGTTTGTCTATAAGTGTGTGTGTGTCTCTATGTGTTTGTCTATAAGTGTGTGTGTCTCTATGTGTTTGTCTATAAGTGTGTGTGTGTCTCTATGTGTTTGTCTATAAGTGTGTGTGTGTGTCTCTATATGTGTTTTGTCTATAAGTGTGTTTGTCTCTATGTGTTTGTCTAAGTGTGTTTGTCTCTATGTGTTTGTCTATAAGTGTGTGTGTGTCTCTATGTGGCAACCCATAAGTGTGTGTGTACTCTATGTGTTTGTCTATAAGTGTGTGTCTCTATGTGTTTGTCTATAAGTGTGTGTGTCTCTATGTGTTTGTCTATAAGTGTGTGTGTACTCTATGTGTTTGTCTACTAAGTGTGTGTGTCTCTGTGTTTGTCTATAAGTGTGTTTGTCTCCTGTATGTTTTGTCTATAAGTGTGTGTATGTCTCTATGTGTTTTGTCTATAAGTGTGTGTGTCTCTATATGTTTGTCTATAAGTCTTTATTGTGTCTCTATGTGTTTGTCTATAAGTGTGTGTGTGTCTCTATGTGTTTGTCTATAAATTATGTTTGTCTCATGTGTTTGTCCTATAAGTGTGTTTGTCTCTATGTGTTTTGTCTATAAGTGTGTGTGTGTCTCTATGTGTTTGTCTATAAGGGTAATGGCTTGTGTCTCTATATGTTTGTCCTATAAGTGTGTGTGTCTCTATGTGTTTATCTATAAGTGTGTGTGTCTCTATGTGTTTGTCTATAAGTGTGTGTGTGTCTCTATGTGTTTGTCTATAAGTGTGTGTGTGTCTCTATGTGTTTGTCT